TTTTTTATTTTTTAACTTTTAATTTTAACTTCTGGGGGGCCTCTGCCTTCTCCATTTCACCTGCCAAGATAGGGACTCATTTTCAACACAACGCCACCAGTAACACACCTACCAAAATTAACAGTGCATCTTAGTATTATCAGATACTGAATGTTCAGCTTTTCCTGGTCTCAAAACCCCTGTTCAGGCTGGTCTATGTACATCAGGGTCCACATGGAATCGACACCATGCACTTGGACAGCGTGCTGCTGCGATGTTTTTCTTACACCGACCGTCCGAAGCCACCCGGGTATCCCACGGTTCAAGTAAATTCTGATGCTCTCTGGAGTCAGCCCAGACCCTGCAGGCTCAGTGCCACGAGAGGGCCCATAGTCCAGACGCCACAGGAGGGGTGCCCAGGCTGCCCACGCTTTTGCCAGCAGACTGCAAATACATGGGTTCCCATGACCCCCCCCAGGTTTGGCTACTTGCTAAAACAACTCGCAGGACTCAGGAAAACACCTTATTTGCAGTTACCGGTTTATTATAAAGGCTGTGACTCGGGAACAGCTGAATGCAAGAGATGTAGAGGACTCGGTGGGGGCGGGGGCTGGGGCGTCCGTCCCCGCTGTGGGTGCAGTGCCCTCCCAGCTCCGCCCAGTGCCCACCAACCAGAAGCTGAACCCCGTCACTTGGGGCTTTTTTTAGAGGTTTCATTAAATGACAGGATGGATGAAATCGTTAGCCATTGATGATTAACTCCATCTCCAGACTTCCCCCCTCCCCAGAGGTTGGGGTGGGGTGGGGCCAAAAGTCCCAGTCCCCTGATCATAGCTCGGACTTTCTGGTGACCAGCCCCCCACCCTGGAGCCATCCGGAGGCCCCTAAGAGTCATCCCGTCCACGTTGACTCTGGGACGGTGGAAAGGGGCTTGTTACAAAAACCGCTCCAATCATTGAGGAAACGCCAGGGGATTTGGGAGCTCTGTGCCAGGAACCGGGGACAAAGACCAAATGTGTATTTACTATACCTCAGTCAAGTCATTTTCGTCTCCTTTTCTGTTCTTGTGGCGCTTAGGTGCGGAGGAAACCAACACGCTTGTGGTCGAGACTTTCCCATGGCCACTTCTGGATTTGCCAGACTGAACCCTCCAGGGCTGGTCCTGCGTGCCCCAGCTGATCTTCAGAGGGCTGTGGGCTTCCCACCGCTTCCCCTCAGGGGACCCTCTGTTTGTCCCACCTGTAGTGAGGTCCAGTAGGCTCCTGGACGTCAGGCTGGCCCGCCCCTCATCAG